AGATTTGTTTATAACGTTTATAACGTGACTTGTGTAACAATATAACGTGATGACTGCGCATCATGGTAGGAGTCCTTTGCATCAAGATACTTATTTATTGACTAATACTTAATAAATGTGCATACTGTATTAGGTGCTGTACTTATTCATTTGTTGTTAGTTTTATAGGGTTAGGGTGAGGGTTGGGGTTAAAAAGATATATAATTTTGTTTTCATATTTAAAACAAAATATCAACATCATGTCACACTGTAGTGTTGACACTAACATCGTTTTGTGAATGATCATGTCAAAGTTATGGTATAAAGGTTAAAGATGAACGCACGAAAACAACAGTGTAATTAAACAGCTTTCATTTTTTCTTTGTACATATAGAATGTTATTTCCCAGTGCTGGGTTGCAGCTGGAAGGGCATCCGCTGTGTAAAACATATGCATTGGTTGTTCATTCCGCTGTGGTGAATCCTGATGAATAAAGCGACTAAGCCGAAGGAAAATTAATAAATGAAAAATTTAGAGGGCGAAGCAGTGGCGCAGTAGGTAGTGCTGTTGCCTCACAGCAAGAAGGTCGCTGGGTCGCTGGTTCGACCCTCGGCTCAGTTGGCGTTTCTATGTGGAGTTTGCATGTTCTCCCTGCGTTCCAGTAGGTTTCCTCCGGGTGCTCCGCTTTCCCCCACAGTCCAAAGACATGCGGTACAGGTGAATTGGGTAGGCTAAATTGTCCGTAGTGTATGAGTGTGTGTGTGTGTGTGAATGAGTGCATGTGGATGTTTCCCAGAGATGGGTTGCGGCTGATAGGGCATCTGCTGTGTAAAAACGTGCTGGATAAGTTGGCGGTTCATTCCGCTGTGGCGACCCCGGATTAATAAAGGGACTAAGCTGACAAGAAAATGAAATGAATGAATAATTTAGAATGTTAGAATTAAGAAAGAAATATCACACATTTTACCATAATTTACTGAAGGAACAAACATTAAATTAAATTGCTTATAAAGCAAAGCGAACATCTTGTCTTGACATGGTAAAAGACGCTAATTATCCCGGTGCAATACCAACATTCTTGTTAACTGACATTTACTATTTAATACTTTGCCAACATCCTTTAAACCATTTATCAGCAGGAAAGTTTTATTTCTGATTAAGTTGTGTTACTCCCAATGATGATGCAATAATATTTCACTTCTTTTTTCTATTTTTGCTTTTTATTTTTATAATATACACTCTGTACTTGCCTTTGCACTGTACAAGTGGTTAAATAACAGCTTTCTTATTTTGTGATTCGTGTTTCTCCCCTATTTATTCATGTTTATAAATCGCATTTAAAGACTTTTATCTCTACTTTGATGTTGAAAATTCAACTGCAGTTTAAGAAAGGGACCTTTATTGTCATTTTAGTACAATATATTGTATAAAAACATAATATAGATTATTATGTTTAGTCCATAAAATGACTACAGTTTAATACCAGGTTTTTGTGCTGTTATTTACAATACCAAGCCAGACAATATTTCACTTAAAATGATTAAAAATGTCAATAAAAAGTCAAAATTGTAAAACTTTTCGACATCAAATGTTGTTGGAGGAAAGATTAAGGTCCCATAACAATCAAATAAATGAAAGAAAATATCACAAAATATAAAATATACAAAATGTATAATATTTTTTCTACAACGTAGTAGATTTAATATACATAATTACGTTATTATTTTTTTAAAAATTTTATGTTAAAACCAAAATGGCATTTGTATTTGACTCATACAGTAACTTTTGAATATATAAGCTTGCTGTTTGTTAATATAAATGTTAATTAATATTGTTTATAATTTACATTAATGATATGTGTAAGACAGTTGTTTAAGTATCTTTTGTTCTGGGGATAATTTACCAAAACTTATAAAGTTGATTAAAAGAGTTCTTTAGGAAATTAAAAGTAGTAATAATATACAGTTAAAGTCAGAATTATTCGCCCCCCTGTTTATTTTTTTCCCAATTTCTGTTTAACGGAGAGAAGATTTTTTCAACACATTTCTAAACATAATAGTTTTAATAGCTCATCTCCAATAACTGATTTATTTTATCTTTGCCATGATGACAGTAAATAATATTGACTAGATATTTGCAAGACACTTCTATACAGCTTAAAGTTACATTTAAAGGCTTAACAAGGTTAATTACGGTAACTAGGCAGCTTAGGGTAATTAGGCAAGTTATTGTTATTATCTGTAAACTATTGAAAAAAAATATAGCTCATAGGGGCTAATAATTTTGACCCTAAAATAGTGTAAAAAAATTAAAAACTGCTTTTATTCTACCTGAAATAAAACAAATCGACTTTCTCCAGAAGAAAAAAATATTATCAGACATGCTGAGAAAATTTCGTTGCTCAGATGATCATGATTTATTAAATCATACAATTAGTTGGAAACCGCAAATATATATTGTAAATATTAATATCCAATTGAGTAAAAACTCTAGCAATAGTGTATAAAGCAATATTTATCCTGGACAATATGTCAATGTATGTATTATATAACACACTTATGTTGCCATATCTGAGTTATTGTGTTGAATTTTGGGTGGATGCATATAAATCTAATTTATATTTCTTTATGTACAAGGCAGAAAAAAATAATTAGACTGATAGAACATGTGGGGTATTTGGAGCAAACAAGTCCTTTATTTATTTATTTTTTTAAATTAAAGATACTTAAGTTGAATGATTTGTTAAATTTTGAAACAGCACAACTTATGTTTAAAGCTAGGAAAAAATTATTTCCGAAATGCTTACAAACGTTTTTTTGAAGAAATACAAGCGGGATATAATCTGAAAGAAGAGCAACATTATAGGAGGTTGAGAATAAGGACAACTTTAAAAAGTTTGTGTACGGCTGTATGTGGAGTGAAATTATGGAACAGTCTGGAACAGATTCTTGAACAGGATAATAATTTATTCTAAAAAAGTTGTATAAATAAATAATATTAAAGGAATATAATGATGAATATAGGTGATTGAAAAAGAATAAAATGAGAACGTTATGATGAAATTTTAATTAATGGCTGTTAAAGCATAAAAAAGGCACATATAGCCATTTAAAAAAGTCAGATTTATGTGACTAAACTTTTTTCTCTTTTAGGTAAGTTAGGATTATCAAATTTGTTTCTGTCATGCTTAATAGCAGTATAATGAGAGAGATATGTTTTGAGAAATTGTTATAACTTTTCTTAAAAGTCAAGTTTACATACAATAAGATTATTATGCCTTTGAACAAGCTCAGATGATAGTGCCAACATTTTGGACATTTGTGATTGGCTAATTGACAGCAAGACCAAAAACAAGGGAAATAAGTCTAATTTTTGGAGACATGTCCTGTGGTCTGATGGAACTAGGATTGAACTGTTTGGCCATAATGACCAGTGTTACATTTGGTGGACAAAGGAGAAAGCTTACAAGCCTAGGAACACCATCCCAACTGTGAAGTATGGGGGCGGCAGCATCATGTTGTGGGGCTGTTTTGCTACAGTAGGGACTGGTCCACTTCACAGCATAGATGGCATCATGAAGAAAGAACATTATGTAGAAATACTGAAGCAACATCTTAAGACATCAGCCAGGAAATTAAAACTTGGCCACAAATGAGTCTTCCAAACAGATCATGACCCTAGGCATACTGCCAAATTAGTTAAAGTGTGCTTTAAGGACAACAGAGTGATTGTCTTGGAGTGGCCATCACAAAGCCCTGATCTTACCCTATAGAAAATTTGTGGGTAGAGTTAAAAAAGCTTGTGTGAGCAAGACCCAGTTACTCCAATTATATTAGAAGGAAAGGGTCAACATTGCTTCAAACTATTGTGAGAAGCTTGTGGAAGGACACACAAAACATTTGACCAAAGTTATAATTTAAAAGCAAAACTAAAAAATACCAAGAAAATGTTTTAAAACTTTTGACTGTCTAGAAATTAATAAATTCTCAAAAAACAAATTCTCTCATTATTCTGGCATTTAGCAAATGTAAATCATTTAGGTAATCCTAACGGACCTAAAGTAGTAATAATGTTTAGTATGATTTACCATCAGAACTTTTTTTTCAAATTTTTTTTAGATAAAATGAATAAATAAATGGTTATGTTCCTTTGTTTAGAGTGAATGTAAACGTCTGGTTTTAACTGTATTTTGGGTGTGTGTTATGAAATGTAAATGTACAAATGGAATCAAACATATATGTCAAAGATGCCAACAGGATAAAATATGTCTTATGTAAAAAGTAGAGATAAGTAAAAGAAGAAGTAAGTTTAAGAAATAGACGTCTTTTGGATAAGACGCTAAACCGAGGTCCTGACTCTGTGGTCATTAAAAATCCTTCGATTTTTGTCCTTCGAAAAAGAGTAGGGGTTTAACCCTGGCATTCTGGCCAAATTTGTCCACTGGCCTCTGTCCATCATGGCCTCCTAACCATCCCCATTTCATAATTGACTTCATCACTCTGTCTCCTCTCCACCAATTAGCTGGTGTGTGATGTGCGGTCTGGCGCAAAATGGCTGCCGTCGCATCATCCATGTGGATGCTGCACACTGGTGGTGGATGAGGAGTTCCCTCATGTGTGTAAAGCGCAGTGAGTGCCCAGAAAAGCGCTTTATAAATGTAAGGAATTATTATTATTATTATCATTATTATTATACTATTATTATTATTATTGTTATTATTATTACTTTATTATTATTATTATTATTATTATTATTATTATTATTATTATTATGTGTGTGGTAATGGGGTGGGAAAATAATATGCTTGTGCTTCATCCTGTTCCATTTCGACTATGTTGAAATGTATTTTTTGTTAAAGAATGTTTATGTATAATATTTCTGTTCAAAATAAATAAATCAAATAAAATAATCAAATCAAATATTGTTGTTTGACTCAAGCTTCTCTGTTTTATTGTGTATTTATGTTACACACACACAAAAAAAATTATAATTGTATTATTCATGAGTTTCATCTTTTGCAGCTCCAGCATCAGCGACAGAATACAGTGAGCCTAAATTCCAGTTCTCACCGGCAAAAGTGAACAACACACTCTTCAGATTTAGTGGTTCCAACATGACTACAACCCAGAACAGAATGGTAAAGAAAACACACACGCAAGCACGCACGCACACGCAAGTAACATGATTTATATACACAGCACTCTTTGACAGGAGTGATTTATGATTGTTGGATGTTTAGAGTTATTGCCACGGCAGACTTGTGTTAGAGCGTTGTGCACGTTTTCTGCTCTCAATTTTTTTAGTTTATTGTAATTTATAATTTAGAACAAAATTCTCAATTTAAAAGTGGATCTGTTGTTTTATAAGTTTATCAAGCCAAAGTCTTTTTTGCAATTAAATTTCAAAGTTGTGAATTTAAGTTATATTTAATTGGACCACTGCATACATATACTGTGCTCAGCATCTATAAGCACACCTCTCACAAATCTATCTTTTTAAATTCATTTTTTTTTTTTTAATAGGAAGCTATACAATACTATATTTGTGCATATTCATTACATTAGTCAGTACTGAAGGCAAATCTGGAGCTAATCTAACAAAATCATTTACGATAAAGGTCTAAAAACTAGTACACCCAAATTGATATGTTATAGAAAAATATTAAGTACAAATTCAAAGAGGAAAAATCTGTTAAATTTTTGTAGGTTGTAATTTTTGTTTGGAATATTTAGATTAAATTTAACTGTATTATCTTTTAACTTTATGAATACATTTGGTGACTAAAATCTTATTTTAATAAATATATCTGTTTAATAAATCTGTTTTGTTTAAATGGACTAAAGTACATTGCCCATATTCTCTGAGAATGGAATAAAATATTTATTTTCCAAATTGGGTCTACTCGGTTATGCTGAGCACTCCATTGCCTTGAGTCTCCATAGCATGTGTTTAAAAAAACAAGATCCTCATGTCATGGGAAACTAACACAATAGCGAACGCTCTCATGCGTTCCTGCATTCAGATGTGTGAGATTTAGAATTGGAAACACAATCTTGCTCTGGGAAACATTTAACCAGATCATGTTGATGATAGACTTTGACTCGGGCATTTCAGAATGACTGAAACATCTTTTTTTTTTTAGATTAGGTGAATGGAGTTTTTGGTTGAAAAATATAGTATTTCTAAACTAGCCTTCATCATTTGTTTTTACATATTTTTTTTATTCATTTAATAATTCGGTTTTTATTAAAATGGTAGTATTTTTAATCAAATTAATCTGTTTACATTTTTATCTTATGTATAATTTATTGCTGTTGATGTCTTTGTATTGTCAATATTTTAGTGGTATTTTTACTTGAGTACAAAAACAAACTGTCACAAGCTCATTTAGTGCAGGTGTTTTATATTAATAATTATAAATGTATGATGTTTGTATGTAATTATAAATGTATGAATTTAAAATATATGTTTTTCTGGATTGCTGATAATACATTTCAGGTGTTCAACACATTGCATGTCAGTCTTGAAAATAAAAATAGGTGCTGGAAAAAGTGCTTAAAAGTCCTTGATTTTTGTTAGGCAATGCCTGTATGAACCCTGCTTTTGGTCCCTTAACAAGTGGGAGGCACATATGCAAACTGTTGTAATTCCTACAGTGTTGGAGTCCATTGTGAGCTGACAGTCCATTGTGATGGTGCCAAAAATGTTAGAATCGATGTCTCAATAATTACATAATTATTCTACAATATTGACCACATTGAAATGACTCAAACTGAATGAAATTTGATTTAATTTCTTACACACTTGCTCAAATACCCTTCAAATGAATAAAACCTGCATGTGTATGGATTTCTTAAAAATATTTAAAACACACAAAACTCAATTTATTACAATAAGTCTGCTGGAACAGTTTTGTTCATTTCCTTCTGTCAGAATCTGATTGTATTAACTGTATTTCATTTTTGTTTTACCATTAGAGTGTGCAGTTGAATTAGAATTATTAGCCCCCCTTTGATTTTTTTTCTTCTCTTTTTTAAATATTTTCCAAATGATGTTGAACAGAGCAAGGAAATTTTCACAGTATGTCTGATAATATTTTTTCTTCTGGATAAAGTCTTATTTGTTTTATTTCGGCAAGAATAAAAGCAGCATTGAATATTTTAAACATCATTTTATGGTAAAAATTATTAGCACCTTTAGGCTAATTTTTTCTCAATATTCTACAGAACAAACCATGGTTATACAATAACTTGCCTAGTCACCCTAACCTGCCTAGTTAACCTAATTAACCTAGTTAAGCCTTCAAATGTCACTTTGAACTGTATAGAAGTGTCTTGAAAAATATCTAGTCAAATATTTTGTACTGTCATTATGGCAAAGATAAAATAAATGAGATGAGTTATTAAAACTATTATGTTTAGAAATGTTTTAAAAATCTCTGAGTTATACAGAAATTAGGGAAAAATTACCAGGGGGCTAAGAATTCTGACTTCAACTGTATACAATGCATATAATTGATATATATTGTGCTCTTTCATGCCGTTTCAACATTTGTTTTAGACATTGCCCTCGGAAAGGAGGGCGGTGACGGTTTTATTACACTCCACTGATCTGCACTGAACTGCGCCATCTGATAGTGTATGCTTATTATAACAACATACTAGATAAAATCTGCTGCAGGGCCATGCATTTGGATTTATGACATTTTGTAGTTTGTCTTTGATCAGACCAGATTTTGGTTTTTGATAAGAGGTATAAATAGTGTCATATTTATCATATAGATCATGTTTTATGCATAAGTTTATATAAAAGCATAACAGGACTAATTGTCAGTTGGACTTCATCCGTGCATTCATTATACATACACTTTTACATCTTAACATAAACTTGTATTCAATTCAATTCATGTTTATTTATATAGCGATTTTACAATGTAGATTATGTCAAAGCAGCTTAACATCCCGTAGAAGTTTTAGTCAACTGAAACTGTGTTAGTCCAGTTTTCAGAGCTTAAGCTCAGTTTAGTTCAGTTGTATGCTTGTATAGTACATTCACAAGCATATTACTATAAATCAGATTTATAGTAATTACATTCATTTATTCATTTTCTTTTCGGCTGAGTCCCTTTATTAATCCAGGGTCGCCACAGCAGAATGAACCGCCAACTTATCCAGCATGTGTTTTACGCAGCGGACACCCTTCCAGCCACAACCCCTCTCTGGGAAACATAATAATTACAGTTTAATTAAAATTATACTGTTAAGATAGTTTTGATTCTACGCTGTAAAAAATCTTATGTGCTATTTACTTTTCATTTGTGGGAAAATACTTTGAACATTTTCTTCATTAATCTGACAAAAACAAATATTAATATTTATAGGCAGTATTATATAATCTTTTTAATTACTCTTTTAATTATTAATTACATTACATCAATAATGCAGTAAAAGGAACCATGAAATTGAAAAACACTGCGGATAGCTATAGCTAACTTAGCTTAGCCTTGGCTTACCACTTTACAAGATCACTGTTGTTCTTCCACCACGCTTAAATATTGCCTGATCATTGCTGTAAAACTTTTCAATGTAAATAATTTGCTCAATTTCAATATATAATTCAGAATAAACAAAGAATGAATTTCAAATAGCAATGGGTGGTTAAAAATACCTCTGTGTGCCTATGTACATCGTATGGCAAAAACTAGTCTTTCCTGAAAGAGCTTATTTAAGACAATTAAAATTATAAACTGTTAATGCTACCTCTTAACATGCTCACTGTTGATCTGCTCCTTAAAAATGTCGGCTGATCAATGCCGTTGTTGAGATTCAAATGCAAACATCTCCATCAAATCTGCATAATTGAGTAATTTAAGTAAATTGAGTAAATTGAGCAAAAAAAAAAAAATGAGGCCATCTTCGCTCAATTTTATTAGCTTAGTTGATTTCCCAAATTAAGTCTAATAATTGCACTGGTTTGACAGAATTGGTGTAACTGAGACAGATTTGTTGGCTGTCTTTCTCGCACAAGGTTTTTCAACTTTTCAAGAATTTTCAATAGGATTGAGGTAAGGGCTTAGTGATGGCCACTCCAAAACATTCACTTTTAACTAATTTGGCAGTATGCTTGGAGTCATGATCTGTTTGGAAGACCCATTTGTGGCCAAGTTTTAAAAAATAAGTCACATTTATTTCTTCATTTTATAAGCAAATTCTTCTCAATATATTATAATAAATCCAGAATATGAATTTTTTTTAAAGAAAATATGCACGTTATTTTTAATGACCGCATCAATTTTTTAAATGAAAACTACAAGCCTCAACTTTCATCTTTTGTCACAGTGTAAAGCAGATGTGAGACTATAGGTTTAATACATGACAGTTTACATACAAAATAGCTTTTACTTGAACTTTGGAATTCGTTTCTTGTGACATAATAGAAGAGAGGCTTCTGGAGCTTTCTGAAACTTCATATGCTTTTAATTTTCTATCACACACCAATAAATCAGCCTACAGGCTTTCATAGACAGTCTTAGAAGTCATGGCAAGACTTGTTTTTTAGGGTTTGATTACAAGCTGTTCATGTTTTGACAATAAAAGAAGTAGTTAACGTATGAAAAATGACATTGTGATCCTGGACCACAAAACCAGTAATACTAGTCATAAAAAAAATTAGATTGTCTGAAATTATATACAGTTGAAGTCAGAATTATTAGCCCCCTCTTTATTTTTTCCCCCAATTTCTGTTTAACAGAGAGAAGATCTGTTTCAACACATTTCTAAACATAATAGTTTAAATAATATTTAATTTGTTGTTTACTCGGGTATCCTGACTGTACTAAAAATGTGATGGCAAAGTTAGTAAAGAAAAAGTTTAGTTGTTCTTGTTATTAAATGAATCTATTGTTCCTCAGCATTGCTGTTAAGATGACATCAACACTAACCCTACAGCAAAGAGAAACCGAACTGAACCAAGGCTCCAAAACCGTAAACCGAACCGAATCGTGCCTTTGGTGTATTGTTACACCCCTAGTTGGGGGTCACATTTATCCACTTAACTTACATAAGTTATGGGGCTTTATTTTAAGGATCCAAGCGCAAAGTCTAAAGCACATGGCGCTAAAACATTAAAAGCGTGTGC